ACTGGGTCTATTTCAAGAGGCACTGCCGCAATATAGAGTAGCAGCACCTCAGCCCCTCTACTTCGGGCCCGATCTGATTCGTTAGTGGCAGTAACCTCCCGGCCAACTTGGAGCCAAGTTGACACTGGCCTGCCTTTTGACGTCTTGCACGGCTCGACGGTCCGCGTTGGAGAAGCCTGGTAATTCGAAAAGAGCACAACCAGGCCTTCTTTCCCCTCTCACGACTGCTGGATGTCGTTGGAGTGGTACTCTCTGCCTTCTACCTAGTACCCTGCCAGGTGCCTACTACCTACTTCCCTAGTAGGTGGTGGTTGATCTGATCAATAAAAGGGATTGTCCCACCGAGGCACAGAGACCAACTGGCCTTGACTGGCTCCAGACGGCCCTGCCTTCCTTCTTCGGTCCGCCGTGGGTGTTGAGTTGATGTGTGTGTGTGTCTGTCTGTGTGTTTCGCCGTCCATCTGCATCCGCACAACACTGTTTCGCCCCCAACCTCTTCTCTCCCTCTGTCATCATCTCTCAACGATCTACTTGATTTGGCTATTCTTGGGCTGAAAAAAAAAACAACCTCACTCAAAAATCTCCATCTCGGTCTCCTGCTCACCTTCACCTCTAATCCCGACGCATAAAGGCCTGCTATAACAAGTGATACTTTCATCATCTTCATCATCATCATCTTCATCATCATCAATTCATCATCATCAATCTTTCAACGACAACGATCTAGATCTCCCCGCTGCGTTCCTGGTATGGAGAGTTCTCACAAACTGACAGTGCTTCATGGTCATCTGCAACATGACTACTGGTCTTTAGCTGCAAAGTTCTCCGATTCCATCATCCCGCAGTGAATGGAAGTATCCAAGTGAGCGCACGTGGTGCGGACCCGGTTCTCTTGTTGCGAAACTCCTGCTGTTCCATCCGATAGCGTGACATTCCTGCTACCGGAAAGACGAACGTGCTCCATACCTGAGTCGCATTCAACGTGCTCCCAATTTTCACCCTACGCCCCGTAAGCATCCGACTACCATTCGGTTACCCCACTTGTGGCTGTCAGTTGGGGACGTCAACAGTTACGGTTCCAGTGTGAGTCAACGAAGCTTCATTTCAGCAATCTTGAAGATGGAGATGGCTAAATGGTCTCCAGCGCTTGTCAAATTGCCTTAATCACACTTCTGGGCAGTTCAGACAACACCGATCAACAGTTTTCCTTTGCTGGACAGCTCAAATCCTGCCTGGCAATTAGTGTCTATAAGCTCTGAGAGCCATCGCATTGGAAACTTCTTCTGCCTCGTGGCATTGGCGTTCTCATAGCCAAGTCTCCCTGCATTTAGGTCCAGAGCGCCGACATCATGTCGGATCACTCGACAGGTCCCTTTGGGAGTAGGTCACCTTTGAATATTGAGTTCGTACAATCAGCTAATGTGCCAGGCTCCGGAGCCCATCCATACCAGCTCCCACCTCCACGTACGTCCGCACCCTTACAGATCGGGACGGACCCCTTCCTGCGTCAGCGCAATCCAACAGAGAACCGCGAACCCGGCGAGATAGCCTCGGGGCGGTCGAGTCTTTCTGGGCCACAGCTGGGGCCGAAGGAGCAACTGCCTCCTGTGAGTCAGTTACTGACGCCCAGTGTGCATTCGAGCCGGCCATCGTCTCCATATCACTCCCACAGATTCGGGGTTTATACCCCTCCCACTGGTAGCACAGGATCACCAATCCCTCGCCATCATAACGAACACATACCGCGATCTAGCATTCACGAAAGCTCTCGGGCTTATCCTGAGGCGGTCGCATCGCAGAGTCGAAGCCTGCCGCCGTTGTCTCACATTTCTACCAACACTGGATTCGGACGCGAAGGCTCTATACACACAGCGTCTACTAGTTCGTCCGGACACCCAATTCACGCAACTCCTTTCTCATATCCTGGCTTCAAACCCCAGGATAAGGAATATGGCGGGGATTATTCCCCATCAGAAACCACATCCGACATGGCCTCGGCTAATCGATCCTCAGATAGCAATGTACGGCCTCACGTGGTGGATGAGAGATACATCGACGGAGAAGGATTGTGTTATATCTATGCGGATGGGTCGCACTGCCCGAAGCTTATTGACGGCGTTCCAGTGAATGCAAACTGGGGAATCACAAAAGCCGGCAAGCCGAGGAAGAGACTGGCACAGGCTTGTCTGACTTGTAGGGAGAAGAAAATCAAATGCCAGCCAAACCTCCCCAAATGCGACCAATGCCAGAAGTCTGGGAGAAACTGCAGGTTCGAGAGCGCGTAAGTCGGTTGATGACATTGCTTCTGAGTACCGGCCAAATCTGCAGCTTCTGACTGAATATCATCACAGACCTCGTGGCCATCGAGCAGCACTCAAAACGGCGCACCTCATGGGCAAATACGATTCACAGGAGAGCTACTCTGCAGGCGGTTACACTCATGGCGCCTCACCTCAGCCCTCATACTCGACGATGCGGGCATCCGAGAGCTCAGTATCCCTCCCAGGCACGAACTCGCTATCCCCCAAGTCCGAAGCATCCATAATCACCCCGTCAGCCGTTGACACAACTCAAGACGTGATGGACTACGAGCCACAGTTTCGACCGAAAGCGTACAGTTTTGGCCGAGCATCCTCGGGAGCGGAAGTCATAGCCAATACCACAGTCAGCGTGTCTTCATTTGTGTCTCCAGATTATGCGGAAGTGTTGACAGAGATGAAGGACATGGACCCTCAAGATCCACTTGCGAGCGACTGGAATACAGACCCTTACGAGGCCGATCCGGAACTTACTGTGCACTACATCGAAAGCTATTTCACCTACGTGAACGACCGGCTGTACTACATCTTTCCACGAAAACGATTTCTGCTGTGGCTAAGGGCGAGCCATACCAAATCCTTGGAAGACAACATGCTTCTCTACGCGATGATGGCATTAGGATCGGTATTCTCCGATCGTCCCGACAGGATGCTGGCGATGAGGAAGTACGCACGCATAGCTCGATACGCAGTGGAGCATGGCAGACACAATTTGTCTTTGCAGCTTGCCCAAAGCCACATCATCCTCAGCCTTTGGTACTACGCCATAGGAGCCCTGGTGCAATCGTGGGACGCTGCTGGTGCGGCCGTCCGTACAGTATGTGGACTTCGTTATAATGTCGAAGCAGGGGGAGTCATTGTGGATCAAAACCAGGCCTGTGAGTATGGACTGCATCCACAGGCTTTGATTGAGTGTCGCAGGCGAACATTCTGGGTTGCCTTCATCAAGGACGTGAGTATCCAAGCCAGCCTGTTGAGTCTGTCTATTTCGCGGCTAATTGTATTGGTGTGATCTAGCGTACAACCTGCGTTTATGCCCCGTCACCCGTCACCATCTCCTCCCAGTCCGCTTACCTCCGACTTCCTTGCCGCGAAGAAGTTTTTGAAGCACAAGAATATACCACCGTACCTTACTTTCAGAGTTTCTTGAACCAGAATCCTTCTTCCAACAACGACATTTCCAGTGCGAGCGCCATGGCACTTTTGATTGAGATCATGTCGTTGTGGGGAGAAGTATCGGACCATGTCCTCCGGTTGTCGTTGATCCCGACGGAAATATATGGCGAACACTTTGAGCAATTCTACTCGACAGTGGCTCGGCGCGCTGAGGAATGGATTGCAAGGCTTCCGGACCATCTTACGTTCACAGCCGTGAATTTGGAACGGAGCATCCGTGCCAAGAAAGCAGACGCATTCTTGTCAATCCATCTGGTCTATCATGCTACGTTGATGAAGCTGAACCGACATGGCCGTCACCAGAGCATTCGCGCGGAGGTGGTTAGCCAGCATATCCACGCCGCGAGAACCCATGCGGCTGATATCCTTCGTATGACCAAAGCACTGGTTCAGTACGCAACGGAGTACGAACCGACCCGGATTCTCATGGAGCCAAGTTCGGCCAAGGGAGCGATCTTGAATCCTTTTCTGGGCTATGTGATTCTGTCCGCGATCGATATTATCAGTGCAGCAGGCCGGTTGGTCGAGCTGCGCAAATGTCTTGCGCTCATCCAGGGTGGTCTTGAGGCAGTCAAAGAGCTGGCTCGGTTCTGGGGCAGTGCCCTGGCGCTAGCTACCTTGATCCAAGAGCGGCTTGATACCTTGAGCGCATGTCTGGCGAGCCCAACGCAAACCGAGGGTAAAGTGGCGTTCCTGAGCAATAGCGCGTCTCTGGATAGCAAGGCCCGCAATGTGCTGCAAAAGCATGCCGAGCCATCGACGGACGAGGATCTTATGTATGGAGCATTGCCATATGAGGGATTGCTCAGTGCTCTAGGCGCTGGCAATGGCCCTTTTCCGGCCGAAACCATCCTTTGGGTTGGCGACACCAAAAGCTGATACTGTTTTCGGGAGGATCATTGACTTTGCATTTGGAGGCATGTAATAACAAAGCACGGCCATTTTGTTGTTTTTGATTTGACACATCATATACCCGGGAGGCTTGTTTTGACTTGGTTCTGGAGTGGGTTTGTGACCACGACAGTGAATGATTGTACATACATACTGTGGGGAGACGAGCATTTGAGTCTTTATGAAGCATATGACTGCATTAACTGAGTCAATAGATATACCTATGAGTTATTGACCTGTGATTAATTCAGTTCGAATTACATACATAGTAGTTATTGTAGTGGACTCGTTAGTGTCATTGTACGTCCTCACCGCCGAGGCTGTTTCTTCCGACGTCATTGAAACGGTACCACATGTGACCTGCAGCAAGCCAGCACATCCGCTGTAACTGCAGATGGGTCAGTAGTTTCCCTTTCCCAGAGAGACCAATATCATACCTAGTCCAGTTAGTTGATGCTGCTCAGTGAAGTGATAGAATGAGATGAGACTGTCTTCCCAAAAGGAGGGATGGTAATTAAGCCACTTGGAAGCCCGTCCTTCAACCTCAATCCCGCCGGACTTCATTCCTACCTGACCTGAAAAAGTTCCCCGCTCTTTCCGCCCCTCCGTTCTTCGGTACGGTCCAGCCAGTCCGCCCGCGGCTGCGGACTGTTGCTGCTGCCAGCCAGCTTACTTGCCCATTCCGGCGCGCGTTTTGCCGTTGTGACAAGACAGGCGGCCTTCTTCCTTTTCGCCCTTTGCAGAATCGTCAACGGCCAGAGTGTATACCATAAATCATACTATTGAGTATTGGAATACGGGGGTATTCTACTCCGACATATTCGATTCCCCAAGCAAGGGATTGACTGACCACTCACCCAGAATTTACCGAAAGGTAGCTTGCTTTAACGCGGGAGGAAAAAAAGCACCGCCTGAAAGGACACTCAACGCCGCGACCGAATTAAACTAAAATCCCAAAACATCTGCCTAGCCTACCTATCGTACCGCAAGGAGAAAAGGGAGGGCGACAATAACTGAGAAGATGTCCACAACAAGGGACAGGGAGGAGGACTCGGAGGACTCCTCCTTCTTGTTACCGCAGCACCAACCGACTGTGAACACCAACAACAGCAGCAGCAGCAGCAGCAGCAACGATGCCGACGACGACGATGAAGACTACGACCTCCTCACCGCTGGGGACGACAACGCTCAAGAACCCGATTACTACACCCTCCTCAACCTGCGCCGGCACCCGCCGCCGACGGACGCCCAGATCCGCTCCGCCTACCGCGCGCTCACCCTCTCGTTCCACCCGGACAAGCAGCCGGCGCACCTGGCCGAGGCGGCCAAGCAGCACTTCGAGCGGATCCGCGAGGCCTACGAGACGTTGATCGACGGCCGGAAGCGCGTGGTCTATGATCTGTTGGGGGCGGAGGGGGTGCGGGAGGAGTTTGGCGAGGCGGAGAGGGTTGGTAGCCATGGGGCGGCGGCGGAGTGGAGGGTAGGCTTGAAGGCGAAGAGTCCGCAGGAGTTTCGGCGGTGGTTCTTGGAGAGGATGAAGGCTAGGGAGCGGAAGGCGGTGAATTCTTTGGTGGAGGGCAAGGTATGTTCGTCTCGTTTTGAATGGGGATTTGGGAGGGGATGACGGGGGATGCTTTGGGTTGGCTGGTTGACTAACTTGTGTTGTGTTGGGGCGATGGCTAGGGTTCGTTTACACTCGGCGTTGATGCTTCGAATACGATCACTATCGATGAGGATGCCGGCGAGGTCTATCTGAATGTCCCGGATCCGAAATTGTCGAAGTTTGGCGTGGCGTTTGCGTTCAAGGCGCCGTTGCCGACGTGGAGGAATATTGCGGGGGAGGACGAGATGGAAGACGACGATGACAACGAGAACGAAAATGGGGCGGACGAGGACGGTGCGGTCCCTGACCTCAGTTCGCTGGGGGATGGACCGGAGATGGTCATCAATGCTGGGATCTCGGGCAAGATTCGCCATTTGACGCAGAAACTGCAGGTTCAGATCGAAGATCAGGAGCCGGAGGTTGTCGAGGTAATTCCTACGGGTCCCGTTCGAGCATAGAGGGATAGGCGAGAAGGGCTCACTGATTGATTGTCTAGGTTCCTGTCCCCTTGGTCATCTCGACTAAAGAATTGCAACTGGGTGTGGGCGTGCACCACGCCTTCGGAGATCTGGCCGGCTCCAAGGGCATCCTGGGCAAGCCTGCCTTGTCGTTCCTTCAGTACTCGGGCCTGGCGTTGAATGCTTCGGTGCTGCCATTTCCACAGCTCGATGTCAACTGGGCCAAGCCTTTCACCCTCGTCCGCGGGACGAGGCCTTTCCGGCTAGAACTGAACACGGTGTTCCAGCGGCCGGTTTGGGCTGCTCCGCCGATGCTGGGCGCTCGGCTGTCGAAGCAGATTGGCGACGAGAAACATGTGTTTGCCAATCTGGACAGTGGGACGCTTGTCTGGCCGGTTTGGTTCCGCCAGCTCCTAAGCCCCAGTTACGAGATTCAAGATGACTTCAAGTATCTGCTCTCTATTCCTGGACAATTGAGCCAATTCCAATTCGGTCTCTTGTCCCAGCCGACGACCAGGTATATGGCTAGTATTGACGATGATGAGGATGACGGCGAGTTGGACGAGGACGTCGATTTTGAGGACGTCCGCTCCAAACACCGCAAGAACAACCGTGCTGCGGAAGCGTGGCAGGTAGGAGTCGCAGTCAGCCCGGCGATGGGTGGCCTGTCCTTCAACTACTCTCGCAATATCTTCTCTGGCAAGCCGTCCACTGATGCATCACTTTCCCAATGGAGCTCGGAGGGGCATTATCGCCTTCCTCAAGAGAATGAACCCCGGTCCGTGAGGATTGGCGTCCAGAGCACGGTCGGGTTCGACCTGTCGCTTGGCTGGCACATCGAGGGAACCCGTCGGGTTGGTGACCTGGCCCGCATGGGGCTGGGTGTAGGTGTCCAATCGGCGAATGGCTTGGTTATGACCCTTTCCTGGAGCAGGCTGGGCCAGAACATCCGATTGCCTATCACGGTGTGTTCCTTCGAAGCGGCTAACGCTGATGCCGCTGCGGTGGCGGTCCTGCTGCCCTGGGTCGCGTACTGCGCGCTGGAATTCGGGTTTATCCGTCCGAGGGAGCGGAGGAAGCACCGTCGGGTGATCGCCCGACGACAGAAGCAGCTCAAGAAGCTGGTACCCAAGAAGAGGGAAGAAAGTCAGCAGGCGATCCAGCTGATGATGGATCAGGTGCAACGGCGCCGTGACCGGGAGGCCGCGCACGATGGCTTGGTGATCACCCGGGCCGAATACGGCCACTACCCCAAGAAGAAGCGAAGCGATGGCAGCGAGAGGGACCCTGATGTGGCCGATGTCACTGTTCCGGTCATGGCGCTGGTCGACAACGGTCAGTTGGTGATCTCTAAGAACTCGGCCAAGTTTCACATCCTCGGGTTCTATGACCCTGCGCCTCTGCTGCCCAAGACCCTGAAGATCTGGTACACGTACCACGGCAAGGAACATTACGTGGAAGCGGGTGACAAGGAAGGGGTTACCTGCCCTATGCGCTCGCATATGGTATGAGCGAGGTCATGAGGCCTTTTTCTTCGTTGTTTGATTGTTGTGTTCATTTCATACTTTCTTAATGTAAACGTGACCCACTGACATCGGATCCTCCACGATGCATATGGGCTTGCTCCATGATGGTTGTCTGTGTATGATAGACCTGCGAAGTGATTCCCCTCTCATCGACTACTCTTTTACTGGCGATGATCTAAGATTTGATGTACTGTACTGTACTATAAAGCATATAAATGGACATCCGTATAATGCTCTGTCTTGAACATTTTTCCTGCCAATCGCCACTCAATTAGAGACAAGCTCTTGACACTGAACTGCTGGCCGAGAAGATGTAGCCAAAGATAATGAATGGCGTACTCATCGCCCAGCAACTTCAGAGGAGAGTGAGGTACTTACAGATAGAAGTATTGAGTAAAAATCCCCAATGGCCACCGCCCCGGGACCACGTGACCGTCGACGCAATTCCGCCGCCCGCCAAACTTCCCATTCCCGACGAGCTCGAAACGCAATCAACCTCTGAATCCCTTTCCCCCCCCACCCCCATCCATCCCTCAAGTCATCATCATCTCGAACCCCTACCACGATGGCGTCCATAGCGGAGGGGCTCTTCAAGGCTCTTCCGAAGCCGAAATACACCGGCGAGGAGGAGGAGCTCCCACAACACGCGCAGCCCCGTGGGCCCCGGGTCGTGGGCCCCGGCCAACTCGATGAATCTCAGATTGTGCTCCGGGTAGGTTTCCACCGCAACCCTTCTTAATCGAATCCCCCAGTCTACACCCAACTACGCGGATATGATACTAACTTTGACTTATTTGTGTCTAGAGAACCGGACCTCCCCCCTATCAGAACCGAGCCGGATGGCGGCCGCGGGCCCCCGAGGACTTCGGCGACGGCGGCGCGTTCCCGGAGATCCTGGTGGCGCAGTACCCGCTGGACATGGGGCGGAAGGGGACGGCGTCGACGTCGAACGCGCTGGCGGTGCAGGTGGACGCGGAGGGGAAGGTGAAGTACGACGCGATCGCGCGGCGGGGCCACGGCGACAACCGGATCGTGCACGCCTCGTTCAAGGACCTGATCCCGCTGCGGCAGCGGGTCGACATGGGCGAGATTTCGCTGGACCGGCCCTCGGAGGAGGAGGTGGCGGCGCAGATGGAGAAGACCAAGACCGCGCTGGCCAGTCTGGTGGAAGGGGCGGTGTCGGCCCAGAAGCCCAAGAACGTGCGCGGGGGCCGCCGCGCCGAGCCCACGTTCGTGCGCTACACCCCCGCCAACAACCAGATGGGCGACACCTCGCGCAAGAATGATCGCATCATGAAGATCGTCGAGCGCCAGCAGGATCCCATGGAGCCGCCCAAGTTCAAGCACAAGAAGATTCCTCGGGGTCCGCCCTCGCCCCCGCCGCCCATCATGCACTCCCCGCCCCGCAAGCTGACCGCGGAGGATCAGGAGGCCTGGAAGATCCCGCCGCCCGTGTCGAATTGGAAGAACCCCAAGGGTTATACCGTGCCGTTGGATAAGCGGTTGGCGGCCGATGGTCGCGGGTTGCAGGATGTCACGATCAATGACAAGTTCGCGCAGTTTGCCGAGGCGCTGTTCACGGCCGACCGCCACGCGCGGGAGGAGGTGCGGCTGCGCGCCCAGATGCAGCAGAAGTTGGCGGAGAAGGAGAAGGCTCAGAAGGAGGAGCATCTGCGGGCGTTGGCGCAGAAGGCGCGCGACGAGAGGGCTGGCGGCAGTGGCAGTGGCGGTCGTCGTCAGCGGGATTACTCGCGGTCGCCGTCCGCCCGCAGTGTCAGCCGCAGCCCGTCGAGGTATTCGGATCGGTCCGGCACGCCGAGTGGCGGGGAGGACGAGGACGAGCGGGCGGCCCGGCAGCGGGAGCAGATGCGGCGCGAGCGGCGGCAGGAGGCGGAGCGGCAGCTGCGGCAGTCGCGCATGGGCACGGAGCGGCGGATCCAGATGATGGCGCGCGAGCAGAACCGCGATATCTCGGAGAAGGTGGCGCTGGGCCTGGCCAAGCCGACGCAGTCGTCCGAGGCCATGTACGACTCGCGGCTGTTCAACCAGACGAGTGGCATGAGCTCCGGGTTCAACGAGGACAACCCCTACGACAAGCCGCTGTTCGCCGCGCAGGACGCCATCAACAGCATCTACCGGCCGCGTGCGCAGCTCGATGACGACGACGAGGGGGAGGGAGCGGGCGAGGAGATGAGCAAGATCCAGAAGTCGAGCCGGTTCGAGGTTCTGGGCCGAGCTAAGGAGGGTTTCAAGGGAGCTGAATTGGCGGAGGTGAGTTTTTTTCCCCCATTTGCTTGTGGTCAGGGCCAGAGTGCTAATCTGTCTCTCCTAGGCTCGCGATGGTCCCGTGCAGTTCGAGAAGGACACGACGGACCCGTTCGGTATCGACAGCATGATCGCCGACGTCACGGGAGGCGCGGGATCATCGGGCCAGAAGCGCTACGGACTCGAGGAGGTCGATCGTTCCGAGCGTGGATCGAAACGGCCCCGGGTGGAAGACGATTGATGGTGGGGTGGAATCAGATACCTTCAAACTTTAGTCTTGTGACTGTACCTTGTGAATTCGGATTCGGAATCTTGTGCTATGCATTGCGGGCGTTGAGCTGTTACTATTCTCGGTAGGAAGGGTTTGTTTCAAGGTTGCCAGGTAGGTATGCCAGATGCTATTTTTAAATTCGAGATCAAAAGAATCCTACATACAATTGTACACTACCCTGGTGATTCCTAGATACTCCCATTTATAAGTGCTAGTGGTCGGTCATCCCATGCATGTATGTACCTACTCGCTGGAAGCCTGGAGTAGGCTACGCATGCCGCCCGCATTCAATCGGAAACCTGCCCCTCTTCATCCAAGCACCCGTGCCGCAGCCATGGACAAGGGTGTTAGTATAGTATAGCGGAGCAGAGCATAGCATCTCATTTCCGATATGCCCATGCCAATGCCCACATCCATACAACCAATCCCGACTCCCCTTCTACTTCCGTGATAATGTTTCAAGTTGCCTTCCCTCTCCTGCACCTTAACGAAGATATCCTCCGCATACTACCTCTCTCTCTCTCTCTCTCTCTCTCCAGTAGACATCCTCAAACCCACCCACCTCATCAACACCCCTCCCTACCTTGGTATGAATACAGTGAACGCATGCCCATCCGGCCTTAGCATATTCCAAAAAAGGAAGCAAAAGTCACCGTCACCCGATCTACCACAAACAGGATCCCTGGGTTTTGCGTAGTGTATATGTGTTCAGGGCTCGGGGAGCTTAGAAGCTTGGGTTGGGTTGGGCTGGGCTGGTCGTACGATATGATACTTGGACTGCTTTAGTAGGATGCTGGTAGCTGTAGCTGAGATTAGGGGAGTTTCTTTGTGTTTGCATGTTGTTGATGGTTTGAAGCTTTTTTTTTATGGGAAAGTGTATGGTTGGAGGTTTGGTCGAGTGGTTTCTTGTGCCTTGTTATTTGGTTGGGTTGGGTTCTTGGTGGGATGGATGTACTGTACTGTATTACTGTACTGTGGATGGGATAAGGGTTGAAGGTTGAGATGATGTGCGGGTGGGTGGGGGGTGGGTGGACTTGTACTTGTACTTGTACTTGTGACTTGTTTGGGGGAGTTGGATATTGGCTGGCTGGGTAGTTTGTACTGTACTGTAGGGTGGGTTGGGTGGGTAGTAGGGAGCAACGGGATTTGGTGTGCATGATCTCTGGGTTGGTATCATGGGGTTCTTATGCTTAGACTTTGATGTTTCAGCTGGAGGCTGGTTACTGGTTTTGTGTGGTGGTGGTGGTGGTGGTGGTGGTGGAGATGATCTTGCCATTCTCCTGTCAACTACAGGTACGAGTAACGTCCCGGACTACCTACTGTATCTGTGGATGATCTTGCTATCCTTATCTGTCATTCACAAGTGATCCCAGCCGGTGTCAAGGTGATCAGTAGTTACTACTTGGAAGGTAATCAGTGGCGATAACCCAGTATAATGCCGCAGGTGGATGCACTGTCGGTGCAGTGCCTAGTGCGGAGGCATCTGCACGGTACTTCTTCCCTTCCCTTCCCTTGTTCAAATGGGCGAACGGGAATAGACTACACATCCACTGTACCATCTCGTCAAAAAGTACCGTTATACCCCGGGATGGCGTACTAACTTCCGACCCGGGATATAACTGTGCTCTGCTAAGGTACAAGCTATATACTGTATTACAGCTACACCACACCTACACCTTGAGCTGAGCCACACCACACCACACCACACCACCCTTCCCCCTCCCTCATCGTGGCTTGATATCTGGTTGGTGGAAATGAAGCAAATAGCGTGGAAGGATCGCATGAACTGCTCTGCTCAGGGCTGTGCTGTGCTGTGCTGCGCTGCAGGCTGCCTTTTTTCTTTTCCCCCAGCTTTGTGTTTCTTTGCGTGGGTGGTCTCGTATTCGGCTGTGTGGTGGATGTGATGTGAGGATGCGTACGGGGTAGCGTAGCTGAATAGAAGTGTGGCTTGTGGCTTGTGGCTTGCGGCTGGGGTACTTGCTGCTTGGTTGGGAGATGCATTAGGAAATCGCAAGTACTGTACTGTAGTTACTGTATCTTTTGACTTGGGTAGTCCAGCTAATGCGATAGTAGACAGACATACATGCATGCACCGATGCGCCCATGCACGAAGGCAGATATCAGGCCATTGTTTTTGATATCTGCTCGGGTCGATCAGCCGGTGGTTATTGGGTATCACCTACTTACTCGGTGACTTGACTTGACTTACCGGATGGGCTGGTATATCTTAGGTAGAATGGAAAAGGGGGGGGGGAGATAGGGTTCGTTACTTATCTGCTTACCTACCTCAGGCTAGTACGATTCCATACCAAGTAGAAGATGGAATGAGTGGTGGGTGGGCGATGGAAGTTTCAATCGACCAACCAGATACAACACTACTACGCCGGCGGAGATCGCTTTCGTTGTCTCCTGCTCTGGTCATGAGGGTGGGATTGCCTTGATTCTGTTTGGGTTGCGATGGTCTTAATGTGCTATGGGATTTAGACTCTGCGCTTCAAGCGCATTATTGGAGATGGGGCATCGGAGGTAATGTGGACGGAGGCATACAAGGACTATTAAGGGCGTAGCAGTTGGGTTTAGGGGAATTGTCACGGGGAATTTGGTGCTGCAGCACGTCCGCTCGACTGTACTCCAACAGACGCTGCGTGGCGATGAAACTCGGACGGATATTTGGGATATAGAACCGATAGCCTGTCGCTCGGGTCCGAGATTGTGGAATTACTTTGAGGATGTATGTACTGAGTAGTTTCTTGCATGCCATGTGCAAGTGTTGTCAGCGGAAGCGGAAGGCAAACGCGATGATGTTTCTGTCTTCAAATTCACGATGAGTGGCCAGGCCAAGCTCCCCATTAAACTGCTGTCGGGCTTCATCTCTAACTGGTTGGCATATATTGCTCACTGCAGTGCTCACAGGCAGTCGATGTCAAAAGTCCAAATTCCACAGAAGTACCTGGACAGCGACTGCTCCACAATCCGCTCAACAGTCCAGATACTAATTGCCCACTTGGCTCCTCTTTCCTCGAGACTAACACGCCGGCGTGTGCCACAATTCCTTCAATTTGCTATACAGTAAGGTCTGTAGAGTGCCACCCCCTCACTTCTAGCTGCAATCCAGAAGCCGACAAATTACCTGAGACGTGAAGGCGACGATGCAAAATCTCTGCGCCCCTAATCTACTTGTCAATCGCCACTCTTCCACATTCCCACTGCAGGATGGCCCTGTGTGACTGGATCGATGGCTGATTTGCGCGACCGTGGTGCCTGACTAGTAAGCCAGCAGCTCTTGTCTTTCCTCCCACACGTTCATCACACAAGAACATCCTTGCCCCTGGAAAGTGCGGGGGAGCCGAGAAGGTGAGAAGAAGGTGGAGGGGGGGGGAGGGAGGCTTGCTTTCTAAGGTTTGCGCAGGATGGGAGTGGGAGGGAGGGAGTGAGAAGACGGTTGGCGAGCCAAACCAGAGGCGTCCGCTTATCGATCCGTGCGCGGGCGCGCGCGCGCGCTGATTGATGAGCATCACCCAAAGGAAAAAGAGAGCAAACTTAACCCGCTAGAACCAGCGATCATCCATCCGAGCAGTTGAGCACAGGGCAACACTTCGGTCGGGACCAGCGCCTAGCGCGGGGGCGCCATCCAAAGGGATTTGCTGGTTCGACTGATAAGCAGTCTGGGTCCCGGTGGAGCCTGGCAGCTGGAGACAAGAGATAAAGGCCGGAAAAGGGCGTTGGAATGACTCGATTCGAAGGATTAGGTAAAAAGGTTTGTGGTGGTCGAGGTTGTGTGAGCGTAAAGGCGAAAAAAAAATTTGGGGAGGTAAAGGATAAGAACCAGAGTTCGTTGGGTCAGTCTGCACTCGTTCTCAGATCTCTTTTTTTCGATTCGTCCTTGGCTTGGGAAGGAATCGCACGAGGTACACTGGTACTGGACTTGTAGAAGAAACGCGAGTGTGTCTGTGTGTTCTCTTGTCCTGCAGCCAGTCATCATCAGCAGTGAACTTAAATTTTTTCTTTTTCTTTTCTTTCTTTTGCATTTTCTTTTCTTTTTTCCTGTCTCCAACAGTTACTGACTGACTGACTGACACTCAAATCTCGTGGGGGGAAAGAATCTGGATTACTACTACTTCATACTCTGGTCACAACCAGCCGAACATCCGCTGTGGAACTGTTGCTGAAACGGTCAGGCCGCAGTGTCACATTTTCGAAGCCGGACAGGAACTGGTCCAGACTCCACCCATCCATTAACCTACATTGAGTCAGTTGAGTCAGTGTAGTAATAGAGAAGAGAAAACCGGAAGAGAAAAGTGTGTGTGTGAGTGTGTGGTTGGAGGGAACAGACGAATTGCATCGCATCACCAGCCACGAGGGAAGTGGTGGTTGTCGAGTCACCTGCTTTCCACCTCTAAAATAAACTAAGCTCTTCTCCTCTTCTGCCTTCTGCAACAACTACTACTGTGGACTATTAACTCGAATCCTCTTTTGGTCTTTCCCCTCATCTGCCTCTTCTTACACTTCTGCCTCTTTTGCTTCACCCTCAATTAACCTTCAATCTCCTCTATCCTCTCACAAGACCACCATCCCCCCCCCTCCCCTCCTCCTACTGAATCAACGGTGACGCAAATTCCTCCTTCATGCCGTAATCTCCTCAATTGCCTTCTGCATCGATGATGATCTACTAAATCCCGTCTTCCGTGCTACACCTGCATTGATATCATCTGTCCAAACAATGGCGTAACCAGGGGTGGGAGAACAATGATCAATCGAGGCTACGAACTATTCAGGTCTTTCAAGCACAGAAAGAAAAAGCGAACAAAGTATCCTGACTCAACCTACCGTCTGGCGTCATAATCCCCCAGATTAAAGTGATCGCCCGGGCGATTGATCGGCCTTGCCTTGCCTGCACCACACTGCACTGCACTGTACAGCCGCAGCCTGGTACATACTTTATTACTGGACTGTCTACTTTTTTTATTACTGAAATCTCATCAATCCTTTTACTCCTTTCTACTCCTATCTCTACTCCTGTCCACCACTGATCGATCTTGATCTATACTGTGAGTTTCCACACTATCGGTCTGCGCTTCTCACCTCTGACTGCTATTAGACCGTGCCGACACTACCTTGACCTGATTGAATTGTCTACTTTGCCTGGTCGTCGGCTGTCACTACAGTGAATTAACGCCTGCTGCGGCCCTTCTCTGCCCACAAAGTCTAGCAAGATGGAGCAATCACTGTCTCTCATCTCTGCCCAGGTCCAGTTCATGGTGAGCCTTGACTTACCCTGTACACCTCATTGCCATGTCCTTTTTCATACAGACAACACAGCATGGCGTCTACTCCGCTCAAGCTCATCTCACTAACCACCGTCGTGGAATTACAGGAAGATCGACTGGCCCTGGTGCATATTCCACTGGATCTCTACCCGTTCTTCCTCAACCCGATTCTGCAGGTGCTCTTTCATGAGGTATCTCCGATCGCTGAGGCTCGAACGGAAGGCCAGGACTTCGGCCGTGCCGAAATGCTCAAACATACGCAGCCCGCATTCTTAAACCTCTCTATCACCCCGGTGGAATGCTCCATCATGTGTCCAAGACAGCTTGCCAATCAGTACTTCGCGCCATTGGTCGATAAGTTTCTTCGCAACAATTCGTCCAGCCAGAGTCGCCTGTCGATCAGCCACGATGATTTCATTGCCATGCAGGTGTACGGCGAGGGTCTGGAAGCTGGCCAGCGGGTCCTGGAACTCACCCGGCCACTGGCCATGGCTGGAATGTACGTACCAACTGATTTGAGATTTCGAGCAACGCACTGACTGGAATGATGTAGCTCCATCTTCTTCATCTCGACCTACTTCTCGGATTACATCATTGTCCCCCTGCGCAGCAAGACTCAAGTGATCGAGACGCTGGAGAAGCGTGGCTTCCAGTTCGAACTGTCAACGGAGGCGTTCATCAACAACAATCAGGCTCAATACGGTAGCTGCTTCAGTCCTGTTTCCTCTCGTTCGGCAAGTAGTTTGAGTTCCCCTCCGGCCACTCCTCCCCCTTCGTCTTTAGATGAACTACAAGTGCGCACATTCTCGTCACTACGCAAGAACCACATCATCCCATCTGTCGATCGCTCGCTTCGTCTGGTGCATTGTGCAGCCCACCATCAATTCAGCAGCAACACCAGCTCGATTGAGATTCTGCGCGAGGCCCTCACCACTACATTGATTGTTGACAAGCCACGGTTCTTGTCACTTACCTTGACCGCTGCTGACCCCGCGGCATCTCTACTTCTGGAGAAACGGCTTCTTCCGCGGTTCTCGCATGGGAACTCCACAACTGCGGACGAAGATGATGAGTCCAGTCTTTTACTCGGGTCGAAGGAGGAGATATTAGTTCCCATCATGCTGGATCTCCGCAAACTGCCCCTTGAGGCGACAGGCATCGTTTGTGGCGTTGCTAGTCGACTGGCCGATGCTACTCATGCCCGAGACGATGAGGACACCGATGTCTCCACCTTCCTGTCTCGTTCCTACAATGGTTCGGGCACCTCTCTGGACAGTGCCTTCAAACCCTTCCTCTCCTCCAGCTGGGGATCCGGCGGACCAGTGCGACCTCTTGGCCTCGACGCCAACGTTGCAACCCATCGCTTGCAACCGGACATGGACCTGTCGATGGATGCCGTGGAAATAAGTTTCCTCAGCACGGCCCGCGCGGGCACCATTCTGGTTGGTGAGCATGAGTTGCACCGAGCCGTGGAAGCCTTGGAAGCGGAAAGTCACGAGCCCGAAGCCGCAATTGAGGCTCTCGAGATTTAGCTTTGCCGTTCGCTGCCTTACACGAATAACTCGCACATTATCCCCTTCTTAAAATTTCGTTTGATGTGTTTTTATACAAAGTTTTCATTGCTTTACGTCCAGATACCAAATTGTTGCATTGACCTCGCCATTTCTTGCATTGTGTGTTCCTGGCGCCAGTTGCATACTCCCATATCATCGTTTGTGTTTCTTTGACAAAATTACTCCAAGCCAGGCAAAGCGAAGTTGGGTGTTTGGGAAACGTCGTTTACGCTGCATGACCTCTCCAGAAAAGTTGTTTGGTTGTTTCTTGTGCTTGAAAACAAAAATCTTCCAAGATTGTTGCATTTACGTCGGCCATCTGAATTTAGTTTACTGTGATTGTGAGACATTTTCATGGGATCTTGTTGGACTGGTAGTGGATCCGGATTGTCCATATTTTGTTTTCTTTTCAATTATTGTGACAGTACTGGACGGTGATATAGCAGACTAAGCTAGCATGTGGCTAGCTGGTGTTATCGCTGAGGTTATTTACTTTTCGATACCGTGATCCGTGCATGCACTGGCCGTGAGACTCCGGAGTTGCCGGTAATCATGGCTACCTAGTCATTTGATTCATATTGAATTGACATAACTGTCTGTAACTTCCTTCTCCGAGGTGATTGGCATGTAGACAACACACTGCCATGCCCGCGGGACAATGTCGGTTGCCACATCCAGTGTATCGTATACCCCGTGAGTGAGATCAAGTCTCAGGGGCAACGGAGGCAACAAGCCCGCCTGCCGCCTGTGGCGTTGCCTACTTGCCTACTTGCCTACATGCCTACTTGCCTACATGCCTACTTGCCTACTTGTCTACTTGTCCGTCTGCCTACATTTGTCAGGATCGTACGGTAGACCAGACGCCTCATCCCTACCTACCTACCTCCCTAACTCCCATCGCAACAAGCTCAGAGCCCAGTATGGAGCAAATCTACAATCACCGTTCTGTACCCCGTACTTCACCGGAAATGTCCATAAGCTCTAAGTCCACCCCCCGGCCCCCCACAATCAACCCAGGCTACAGTCTACAGTGTACCCCACTCCATCCATCCTTCACCGTAGACTCCTCTCCGCGTAACTGTACAGATAGAGTGCAGGTTAATTTAACTTACATATCTCCCTACCTACCTCCCGGTACCTCAAGCACAATCACATAAGTCAAATTACACCGCACCGCAACGTCCCGGCATGATCATCTCGAGACGATAACTAGGTAGTCCCCTTTCCCCGGCCCCAGGGGGCTGGGGCCCCGTAGCCCCCTTTCCTTTCCCCAGATGAGTTTTGGGGGTGGGGCAAAGGCGTCGGACCGATCATATACGGATATGAGTTGATATGGTATGATATGATATGATATGATATCCAGCCGCTTCGACCGGATCGGATCCGAGGGGAATTGCCAATGGTGAGTACTGTACGGAGTACTCCGTAGGCATAGGAGTAGAGTAGATCAAGGATGTGAGGTCACAATTGACTACCCTTTACGGGATTTCATCCATTTACTGTACTAACTATATAAGTTACTGAGTAAGGTACTGTGGATACGATACCGTGTACTGTATACTATACTCCCGTGCAGTGGATTAAATATCGATTCCAGATGCGGTGGCAAGGGTGGGGGCGGTTATTGGAACGAAGATTCGGGAGACTTTGTAGATGGGTAGTGGATTATAGGATAGTATGGTATGAATTGTACTGTGTGTACTGTATGTAGTATTATACGTGGTGTAGTGTAGGGTAGTGTAAGCTATAGGAGGAAGCTATATCCGTCCGTGCTAAACAAACCCAATACTGCGGTGGGTCCGTCTGAGCCCGCGGGATCGGTAGGTTCGTGGTTCCATCCTGTGAGCATGGGTGCGCTGCTTCTATTGCTTTCTATATAATAGTAGCAGTTAAAGGCCGTCTTTCTGGTGGGCGAGCGGATCAGTAGAGGCGGGATAACGGGCTTAGTTAGGGGAATGTCTGATCAACGGCGGCGCAGGAGGCGAATTGTAGAGGTGGGTTGGGTCGGATATTTTCGGTGGAGTTTGAACTGCTCTCAGGCTTGAGGAATCGTGAGGGAGCTTGCGTCTTCTTGGTTCTGGAATTTGTGGGCAGTTGTACCTAAGACTCTAGGTGGTGAGAGAGGTAACTGCCGGTATGACCAAGTACCCGAGTAGGCAATAGCCCCAGCCCCCCCCCGGCCTCGAGCGGATAAGTAAGGCCACCCGGCGGCGAAATTCGGGTTGCGGTGATTCGAGAAGATGGTGTACTAGGCAAGTATGTTGCGTGACTGAGGTGTGATCCTTTCGAGTATGGCCCCAGAGTTTACAGCTGAAGTAGCACAACAATTCTTGCACAGTGACTGGGTGCGTTTGTCCTCTCGTCACGTCACTGTCGGCTGTCCGCGGCATTGCATCAGGCTAGGCGAGGGTATATGAGGCTGACAACGTTAGTGTCGGTCTCAATCTCGATAAGGGAAAACAGAAAACGCACACGTGGGCGTCTGGTGGCGTCGAGCCAAATCCCAAGGCACGGTAGCCAGTCGGTTCTCGTGGTTAGAGGGAAATACGAGCAAGGGTAAGCAGCCAAGTTGTCAAAGCGCAGAAGCAGTTGGAGAGGGTGAAGTGGAGCAGTAGATTGATTGGTCCCGATGGCTGGGTTTTATGGCCATGACCTCGCAGCTCAAATCTCACCCACCACCATTCTCAATTTTTTTTCCCGGGGGCTAGCGATAGACTTTAACGGTGCCTGTGATAACGATTGGTGAGTAAAAGAGATTCCACAGGATTGACGGGTGGTTTCTCGAAAGGCACGAGATAGGTTAATGAAATAGAATAGCCGACAGAAGAATAATTGAACAACCGAGAAAGGAAACATACCATCCGAGCACCCACCGGCCCAACAACCTCCCTTCTCATTCCACGCCACGGCACTCACAGCCTTCACCCCCGGACCAGCAGGAACCGCAGCGATAATTTCTCCGCTGAGCACATCCCAAGCGAACACGGCTGCCTGACCACCCGCGGCGCTATTACCGCTCACCTTCTCAGCTTCACCACCGCTCAGAACAACCGCATCCGTCTTGGCAAAGACGGATCGAATCCGCAGCTCGCTGTTCCGGTAAACGAGGGAACCGGGCTGCCCAAGCATGAAACTACTCTTCTCCTCCCTCTCCCCTCCAACAATCTCTTTCTCTTTCCCAAACGCCTGCAGGAGTCTCCCGTCACTGCGATCGAGCATGCGGATCCGCCCGTCCAGCGTCGACGCCAGCACGGCGTGCCCGTCCGTCGAGCAGCGCACGCTCGTGACCGGATGCGCCAGGACATCGACCGTGGTGCGACCCATGCGGATATCGTAGACGCGTAGCCGGCCGTCGTAGCTGCCGCTGGCAATGGAATAGGTGGGCATGTGCACGTGCAGCGAGGAAACGGTATCCCGCGCTTCCGTCAGCGTCTGGATTGGCTTGTGCGAGTTGGACTTGCAATCCCAGAGGTTGATGGTCGTATCCGCGCTACCTATATGGGGCCGTCTTAGTTGATTGCGAGCAGCCCCCCGCAAAGAAAAGAAGAAAAAAAAACATACCAGACACCACGACCGAATCGCCGTCGCCAGCGAACTGAACCGCTTCCACTCGCGCATTGTGTCCACTCCAGCGTCGAGTGGTCCCTCCTTGCTCGACATCCCACAGGAACACTTGTCTGTCTCCGCCCACGCTTGCGAACCGCGCATTATCGGCCGCGACGGCAACGTCGAGCACCGAGTATCCGTGTGCTTCGTATCGCTGGATCGGAGAGGTCGTTTCGATCACTGTGCCATTGTTGCTCGTAGGGACGGCCCGCGAGAGGTGCACAGCACGATCGCTCGACCCGGTGAGCACGTAAGTTCCGGGATAGCTAGAAAATGTCACCGCGTTGACAGGTCCTGCATACGTCAGAGGCGGTTCGAAGCTGTCGCGATGTAGGACAAGCCTCACCATTGTGCGTCTTGAGCGTGTGAACTAACTGCGTAGGAAACCGTTTGCTCGACATTTGAGAGACGAGATTAATTAATTACCAGACTACCGTCAACCTAGTCCGGCTGTTCAAAAGATTTGAAATCGCTATGTCCGGGGATGCAGGGAAAAGAAACCGGGCGGCATAAAGATTGGGGAAAGATGGAGGTGCGGCTCACCGCCGGCGGACCACGGCCTTACTCCGCATTTCCGGCCGCTGCAACATTCTATTCAGTCCACCAGAAACTCCCACGCACTAATTAAATCTGTATTGACATGCTACGAAGTACAAGTGGGTTATTATCGAAGATGTAGTCAAACCATCGCTAGTTACCAGAAGGAAAAATCAGAAGAGCGAACAAACCGGTCCGTGTTGGGCGTCACGGCTCGAGACGTATAGTCCCCCCTGAGCACAAAAAAATCCGAAAATCAACATGAAAAGAAGAGAGTTGAAGGGGTAGTCAGATGTAAAGATATTAGTCGCGTAGTAGAAAGCACAGTTCGTTTGCGTTTCCTTCCGCCCGATACACAGTCGAAGCCAGTCCTGAAGTATCTCAACGACGTCCGTGGCTCCGAGTGGAAGAGCCCTGCAGTGACTCGATCTCCTGTTCGAGAGATTTGATACTGCGATCGGTCAGCATAATAAGACTCCAACGAATGTGGGGTGTGGAAGACATACGCAGCGTGTGTAGCCTCCAAGTCCTTGTTGAGACGGTCTCTCTCCGAAATAAGCTTCTGCTCCCACTGGCGGAATCGCTGTTCCTCAACCTTGACCTGCTCGGTGAAACGCTTGCGCAGGTTCTCTTCCTCTTCCTTGAACTTGGGGTTGTCGAGCTTTCTGGGGCGAGCCTCGCCGAACTTGCGAGTTTCCATCTGTTGCGCACGGTACGCTTCGTAGTGTTGTTCTTCGGTGGTGTGAATAAGGTCCAGCATGTGAGTGCGGATTAGGATCGAGCGCAGCTTCTTGAAGTCGCAGTGATCCTCGTTCTCAACCTCGGCAACACCCCAAGCGTATTGGCGACCCTTCACAACCCGGTTGTCGCTGGTCTTGACGTCCTTCTCCGATCCGATAACTGCGAAGGGCATGGCGGCCATAAGGCTGCGCGCATGGGTAGCGGCGTGCTCGTCGTCTTCCTCAATCGGGGGAGTGTAAATCTTGATGCCCTGGGCCTCGATGACGGCACGGATCTAGGAAAGTCACGAAAGTCAATGTGTGTACTTGCTGGAATTCATGCAGGTTGCTCACTCTCTGCTTATAACGGGCCAAGTCGGTAGGGCTGAGGGTGTCGGCCTTGGCGATGACGGGAATAAGGTTGACACGGGAGCTGAGGCGCTTCATGACCTCAATGTCCAGAGGCTTCAGGGTGTGTCCAGTAGGGCGGATAAAGTACAAGCAGGCGTGCACACGCATATCGATCTTGTCGGAGCGGCGGGGCTGCTGCTCCTGCAGCATGTAGGATTCATGCTGGTCGTCGAGGAATTCAATGATTGGTTGCCAGGAGTCGCGGTTGTTGACATAGTCTCCAAAGCCGGGGGTATCAATAACAGTCAGGCGAACTACAGCGGGTTCCGGAGCATTAGCTATTGTTTGGGAGAGCCAGGAAAATCCGCTAATAACCTTTGAAGAACTTCTCCTCAAGCTCCGCCTTGGTGATCTCAATCTCAACAGTCCGGTCGACCTGCTTCTGATGACGGCGCTTGTGATCGGCGTAGTTCTTGATGGTCGTGGAGAACAGAGTGTTGATGAAGGTGGTCTTTCCCAAGCCAGATTCTCCAGCAACCTATGGTTATCTAATGAGCTTGGTCCCGCTATGAAATTGTGGTTTCATGGTTAACCAACCATAATCGTGAAAGCAGCACCACGCTTAGCGACGATCTTGTGTCTGGACATCTTCGTTAGTACCGGTCATGGCTGGCATTGTTTCGCATGGCATACCGCTGGTTGGGAAGCTATTCATATCGGATTGTCAGTTTCATGTTCTTTCCAGATCAAGAGACAATAGTTGCTTATCTTAATACATACGTTGGCAATGCCAATGGGAGAGGCGGTTTCGGTAGAAGACATGATGGTAAGGGGTTGAGCTGGAACTTAATGGAGCGGTACCAGACGAAGTAAATAGAGGATAGCGGGAGAAGGACAACGCTGGCCTAGGACGAATGGGGCGATGGGGCCAACGGGGTAGAAGAGAGAGAAGAATTAAACGAGAGGACGGACGACGAGAAGCGGAGTAGAAATAGGATGAGACAACGACCGTCGGGGGGGAGGGGGGAAGAGTTAGAGGAAGAAAGAGAGAGAGCGAGGGAGACTTTGGGGATGGAATGGGATGATAGATCGGGAAGTCGTGCCTTCTTCGACTGGTTGCTGCCCCTGAATCCGCCCCCCAAGCAAACAGGATGCAAACAAGCGAGCGTGACTGCGATGATTGAGGGGGAAGAAAGGGAACGGTGCAAGCCTCAGGCTGTCAATTACCCCCATCAGGACTAGCCTGTCAGACTAAGGCCCCGGATGGCGCTAGCACTATTGAAGACTAATGTGGTCGGGGTCGGAGGAACCGTCGATCCGTTCCTTATCGTCCGTTTTGGGCAGGCCGATTTTTTTGAAGATCGACCGATGAATTAAAGACTAGAGGAAGGCTTGCTGCGGCGCGAACGGATCCGGTCGGCGACAATGAAGACGGATTTCAAGGTGCGTTGATTGCTCTTACGATTGTTATCTCTGCGAATATAAAAAGCAGTAAAGAGAGGAGCATTGGAACTGACAGCTATATCTAGTTTTCCAACCTACTGGGGACGGTTTATCGCAAAGGTAATCTGCTCTTCACACCCGATGGCAACTCTTTGCTCTCGCCGGTGGGAAACCAGGTCTCGGTTTTCGATCTAGTACAGTATGTGCTTTCGCGCCTTGGGAATATCGGCATTATATACTGATATCATTTTCCTTGTGAAGCAACACTTCTTATACCCTTCCCTTCGCGCATCGCACCAACATCGACCATCTGGCGCTCTCCCCGAATGGAAAACTTCTCTTGACCATTGACGAGAATGGCCGCGCCATCCTGACCAACTTTTTGCGCCGAATTGTCATTCACCACTTCTCTTTCAAAGGCCGTGTCTCCGCTCTCAAGTTCGCCCCATCCGGTCGATTTTTCGCTGTGGGTGTAGGAAGACGGCTGCAGTTCTGGAACACCCCGACTACGCCTGGTACCGACAACAACGGAGAGATTGAGTTTGCGCCTTTTGTTCTACACCGCGACCTCACCGGTCATTTCGATGTGGTTCAACATCTCGAATGGTCGAGCGACTCCCGCTTCCTGATCACAGCCTCCAAGGATTTGACCGCGCGGATATGGAGCTTGGATCCGGAAGAGGGTTTTGAGCCCACAACGCTGGCTGGCCATCGTCAGGGAGTGAAAGCCGCTTATTTCTCCGCCGACCAAGAATCGGTAAGTTCGGGTATTATTTCGCCCTTGAATGCGCACTAAGCATGGGTAGATTTACACTATCAGTTCCGACGGCGCTGTCTTCCGATGGGAATATGTTACAAAGAAGGATCCGGAGACTATGGAGGATATTGCGGATGCCCGATGGAGGATTGTCAAGAAGGATTTCTTCATGCAGAATGACGCAAAGGTCAACTGCGCTGCTTTCCACGCGCCCACGAATCTTCTGGTTGTTGGGTTCTCCAACGGGTTGTTCGGGCTATATGACATGCCGGAATTCAATCAGATCCACCAATTGAGGTATGCATATGCGCCTAGACTCTATTAGACAAGACTAACGTCAGTGCAGTGTTTCTCAAAGTAACATCGACTGCGTGACGATCAACAAAACGGGCGAGTGGCTGGCCTTTGGCTCTTCCAAGCATGGACAACTGTTGGTGTGGGAATGGCAATCCGAATCGTACATTCTGAAGCAACAAGGTCACCTTGACTCTATGAACACTCTGACATATTCTCCCGACGGTCAAAGAGTTGTGACTGCAGCCGATGACGGAAAGATCAAGGTCTGGGATGTCAAATCTGGTTTCTGCATTGTGACCTTCACAGAACACACAAGCGCCGTCACGGCATGCGAGTTCTCCAAGAAGGGAAATGTTCTGTTTACAGCGTCATTGGACGGCTCCATCAGAGCTTGGGATCTTATCCGCTACCGAAACTTCCGGACATTTACTGCTCCGACTCGGTTGTCTTTCTCCTCACTCGCAGTCGACCCAAGTGGGGAGGTGGTTTGCGCTGGCTCTCCGGACTCATTCGATATTCATGTTTGGTCCGTACAAACGGGACAACTGCTCGATCAACTTGCCGGCCACGAAGGTCCTGTTTCGGCCCTTTCATTTGCAGCCGACGGTAACCACCTGGTGAGCGGTAGTTGGGATCACACTGTCCGCATCTGGAGCATCTTCGGACGGACGCAGACGAGTGAACCCTTGCAACTACAGGCTGATGTGTTGGATGTGGCTTTCAGACCCGATGGCAAGCAGGTTGCTGCGTCGAGCTTGGACGGACAGCTAACGTTCTGGTCTGTCAACGATGCCGTCCAGATTGGCGGTGTTGACGGCCGTCGTGATGTCTCAGGAGGTCGGAAGACCAGTGACCGACAGACCGCCGCAAACGCCGCAGGAACCAAGTCCTTCCGCTGCATCAAGTACAGCGCGGACGGCAGTTGTATTCTGGCCGCCGGAAACAGCAAGTACATCTGTTTGTATGATGTCGCAACAGGATCGATGGTGAAGAAGTATACTGTGTCGGTCAATACCTCGCTCGAGGGTACTCAGGAAATCCTCAATAGCCGCAATATGACGGAGGCTGGCCCTCGCGAGCTTATCGATGAGGCAGGTGAGGCTTCAGAAGTTGAGGACCGCATTGATCGCAGCCTCCCTGGCGCGAAGCGTGGTGACCCCGGATCTCGGAAAGTCAGACCGGAGGTCCGAGTCACAGGAGTCGACTTTTCACCGGCTGGCCGTTCGTTCTGTGCGGCCTCCACAGAAGGTCTCCTTATCTATAGTTTGGATACCGATGTGGTGTTTGATCCTTATGATCTCGATATCTCGATCACCCCGTCTAGCATTTTGGAGACCCTCGAGGCCGCCAAGCAGGCCGCAGCAACCGGCCAAACGGACGATGACAACACATTCCTTAAGGCGTTCATCATGGCATTCCGTCTGAACGAAAAGAAGCTCATCCGGGCAGTCCATGAAGCCATCCCTCCGGGCGATATTCCCCATGTTGTGCGTGCTGTGCCGACAGTTTACCTCCCTCGCCTCCTTCGCTTCGTCGCCAACGCTGCCGAAGAAACTCCGCACTTGGAGTTCAACTTGTTGTGGATTGAGTCTCTTTTCAGCGCCCATGGTCGCTACTTCAAGGAGAATGCGGGCACTTTCGCACCAGAGCTTCGTGCTGTGCAACGTGTCATCGATGAGATACATAACAGCCTGAAGAGACTGACAGACAAGAATATCTATGATCTCAACTTCCTCCTGGCAAAACCTGTGCTTGCAGGCAAGAAGCAACCCAGTCTTATTCTCGCTGCCCTCAATGGTGATGCTGAGGCTACCAATGGCGAGGACGAGACCATGGAAGAGGCAGCGGAGGAGGCTGGTGGGGAATGGATGGGCCTTGAATGATTGTATGTCACTGTTTTTGTACCCTGATACTCCTGTCGTTCTTGTTCCCCTCCGGTCATCTGTTTGGCTTCGCATGTGCTCCTGGCGTTGAATCTGTGGTATACTTGGAAAGAGAAAGGGGACAGCAAAAGTTTTAGGAGTCCGATGCTGTGTTTATAGGATATGTAGTACATATACACCGAATAATAAACTTTCAGAATTACCTTGGGGCGTTTGCAGTGAATGTATTCGGTGTGCTTGAAGTGAGCATCCAGTCGCTCTTCGCATTTTCTTTCTCTCTCTCCACCTTCTTACCTCCTAGTACTCTTCCATCCACCATAGGCTGTTTATCATCCACCATGTCTTTTCTGAATGACCTTAACGTCTATCTCAACCTGGCTGCGTGGAAGACCTCCCTTGTCTTGCCCATCACACTCGTCGTCTGCTTTTTCTTCCATCGCTATGCCATCGCCCCTTTGACTGATGAACTCGCAAGACTGCCCACAGTCCGATACCGATGGTTCCTCCCCGACGCCCTCAACCGAATCGCGTTCTACTTTTACGGACGCGATCAAATCGCTCAGGGTTACAAAAAGGTATTCCATGTTGCAGCCATCACTTACCCTACGATCCGTACTGATGCATTTTGATATCTCCAGTACAAGGATCGTGCATTCCGGCTCCTTACCACGGACGGTGACTTGGTTGTTTTGCCGCTCAAGTATCTATGGGAGATCGAGCACTTGCCCATGACCACGCTGAGCGCTACTAGAGCACGACATAAGGTGAGCTGAATACATGCGAGGGGCTGAGAAGATTCGGCTGCTGATTATGTCCCTCTGTTTTCAGATTCTCCTGAGCGAGTGCACTGACGTAGTCAGAGGGAGTACAAATGTATCTCGTGCAGTGGCCGAGATGAGCCAGCAGGATCATCGTACGTCTTCTCTATTCTCTATATCGATCCCCGGAGGTTGACTGGCATTCTTACTCGCCTGCATAACAGAGCACATTGCTATGCAGTTCAACGATGAAGTTCACAAGGCGCTCTACGTCGAAGTCCCAAGATGTCAGTGTGCGTAACTCGCCTCCACTCCACCTTCACCCTACTCACCTCCACCTCGCTCACCTCCACCCCAGCCTGAGACTAACACACCAGCCCAGACAAATGGACGCCCGTCAACCTCTACAAACTAGTCCTCAAGCTCATCAGCCGCGCCACCGCCCGCTTCACCGTGGGCGAAGAGCTCTACCTGAACGAGCTCTGGCTCGAAACAGTCCCCAGCTACACAAGCGACAGCCTCACAACCATCATCCTCCTGCGTCCCGTGCCCCAGTTCCTACGAGCGCTCGTCGCCCGACTTCTTCCCAGCCTCCGCCGGGCCCGCGCAAGAGCGCGCTGGGCCCAGACCGAGCTGCTCATCCCCACGATCCGATCGCGCCAACACAAGGAAGTCCACGACAGTGCCTACCAAAAGCCGCAGGACCTCATGCAGCGGATAATGGACACGGCCACGACGAACTTCGACCGCGACCCAGCCAACATCGCCCAAGCGCTGATGTCGACCATCACGATCTCGATCGTCCACCCGCTCACCAACCTCGTCACGCACGCCGTCTACGACGCTCTCACCCAGGGCCAGGGCCAGGGCCAGGGCCAGCAGACCATCGACCCGCTCCGGACTGAAACTGAGAGAATCCTATCCCTCCTCGAGCACGACGACGAATCCGGTCTCATCCTCCGTCCATACCAATGCCTCATGGACAGTTTCCTCCGAGAAGTCCTGCGCTGGAACCCGCTGAGCGAACGTGAGTTACCCCCCACAATCACATCCCACACCTGCACCGCCGAACCAGACCAACCCAGCTAAACCCCCTGGGGAACAGTAAACCCCCGCTACACCCTCCTAAAACCCCACACCTTCACCTTCACCTCCCCCTCCACCAACACCAACACCAACACCAACAGCACCGAACCCCTAACCCTCCCCGCACTCACCCAAATCGCCTTCCCAGCGGGCCCTCTCTCCCGCGACGCCGCCATGATCCCGCACGCCGAGCGCTTCGACCCCTTCCGGTGGACCCGGGACCCCCTCGAGGTCCTCCCCCTGCTCCGCCCGGACACGATCGACCCGCGGCTCCGCAGGGCCGTCGCCTTCGACACCGGACTGGCGGACTCCAGCCCGGTCAATCTGCACTTCGGGTGGGGGAAGGACAAGGACCGCGCCGCTGCGGCGAGGACGTGTCCCGGCCGACATCTCGCGGCGCGCTTGGCGGCTTTGGCGCTGGGTGGTCTGCTTGTGCGGTACGATCTGCGGCTGTTTCCGGGGGAGAGGAGGCGCAGGCCTGCGAATTTGGGGGCGGGGGAGTTGGTCTTTCCCAATCCTGGGGTGAGGGTTTTGGTGAGGGAGAGGGGAAGGGGGGGTTGATTTGGAGGTGGGTTGGGGTTTGAGGTGGTGTTTGGGAGTTAAATATGAAAATTGTGGAGGGTTTGCGAGGATGGGAGGAGGGGTAGGTGGGAGTGTGAGACGCTGGACGCACTTTGTCGTCGTCGTGGTTTTGTGGGATATGTGTATTGAGAAGAGGGGAGGTTTATCATCGTAGTTGTGAGGGAGTTGAGGGTCTGCTGGGCTTGGGCAAGTCAGTGTCTCCGTTGTCTCCGCTTCGAAGCATGCTTGCTGTACAGTACTCTACTCGGGATGAGGATCTCTGTAAGAAGGCGGCGCAGCCAAAACGCACATTACTCTTTCAGAAAGGTATACACCTTACAGGAAGTACTACAAATTCAAACACACCACATCGGGGAATACGAAGCTATGTATTATTGGGAGACCCAACTTCTGACTGCGAAACATAGTATCTCGACTAAGAATACATCTCCCAAATATACAAGAGTGGGATATCCCTATCTTTCACAAGACTCCTTTGCCTTCCCCTCGAAAATTTACAAGCCACCCACCGGCTCTAATTCCCCTCAACAACAGTCGCGGCTCCTCGCCCACGACCACGACCCCGGAATCCATTACCGCCTCGATCTCCACCACCACCACGTGCACCCCCACGGCCACGGCCACGCTGGTTCAGCGTCTGCGGCGGCGGAACCTGGCTGTAATTCTTGGGCCGGAAATTTGGGTTGATCTTCATGACACCTGCCTCGGGGTCACCGTTGTCGACCGCATGATATCCGCCACGGGTGCGGCCCGCTCCTCCACGACCGGCACCGCCACGGCCTCCACCCCGGCCCCGACCACCGCGAGAGGCGCCGTCGGCGACCTGGCTGCCGTTGGGCTGAGGGCGGAAAGGTAGGGTCGTCTGAGCGCCCACGCCGTTGGATGCGCCCCGGCCGCCTCGGCCACGACTAGCGAACCCAGCCAGTGCGCCACGGTACGAGTTGCCCAGCGGCGCGGGGGCGGCAGCTTCTCTCAGCTGGCCCTGTCCGGCGGGCCCAGTAGGGGCACCGTAGGCACCAGCAGTCAACGGAGTCGATTGGGTTTGTTGTTGTTGTGCGTCGCCTGCACGAGTCGTGGCGAGGAGCTGTCGGTAGGAGACATTGAGCACAGATGAGGCGAGCACGGTCTGGCCGCGGAAAGGGGAGCAGCGGTCTCCCAGCGTCGTGCCGCTCATGAACGAGACGTCGAAGACGACATCCAGCAAGACGGCCCGCGAGGTCCGGGTGAGTCCCACAACTGTTCCTCGAGTAGCGATAGGCACCTTGCCCGAATCTTGTGCATAGACTACCCGATCGCCAAGCTTGAATGTTTGATTTTGGAGTCGCTGCTCGACGTCGGATGGCCGCAGAAGGGCGCTTCGAGGGACACCGCGGATCTTCTTGGCCTGCATCTGCGGTTGGCTCCGGACAAGCTGATCAGCATCCTGCTCGATCAACTTGACAACATCGGAATCCAGCTGTTCAGCCTCCAGGGGAACGCGCTCGAAATTCTTGGCTTCGATCGATTTGAGCCAGTCCCGGATCTCTTGCATCTTCAGCAAAGCGACCTCTTCGGGGTAGAAATCGGTGGGCGTGTACCGATCATTTTGAGGATTCCGTTGAATTCCTGCAATGAACTCGGGAAAGTTGGTCATGTACTGTACCAGCAAGTCGACGGTTTTCTGGCTGAACTCCCATCCAGAGTCGCCACGGCGCGAATAGCCAAGCACCTTCTGCTTGCGCGCTTCAAATTTGAGGTTCAGACCCAAATTGACCCGCTGACCCTCAATGTCCACGGAAAACGAAGATGTGATCTTGGCCAAGACGAGGGGGTTCAAACGCAGGCTGCGAGCGATGGCATAAGATGGCATGTAAGGGCAGAGTCGCTCGGCATTCTTGGCACGCTCGCGTCCGAACTCGGGCTCCCGACCTTTTACCGCCGCGATCATGCCACTGACTTTGCCGTCTTCGTGTCCAGTAACGTGCACCGGACGTCCATAGTTGAATTCTCCCAGGAAGAATGCCCGAGAACCCTCAGGGAATTCCTTCTCAATAGGCAGAGCGTCTCTCTCGATGAACCGTTCGTCGGGGTTGATTACATCGTCCACAATCAATTGCAAGGCGTAGTCGGTTTCCTGTCCACTGATTTCGCCGAACTCTTTGACCGTAGCACCTTGATCAGTCTTGATCAAGCCCTTCAGTAGCTGTACGTGTACCATGGACTCAACCGGGCCGATGATAGTACCAAGTCTCTTGCTATAAGTTCCTTCGATTTTGTCGGCCTTCTTCTTCCATTGCTCGATCTGAGCCGGGGTATGAGGAATAGCGACCACGTGCTGCTCGCCATCTGGGAGAAGATAATCAAAAAGCTCATCCGACACACGAATGACAAGCGCTTCTTGCAAGAACGGATAACCAACGTGAACCCGCTTTCCGAGCTTCTGTTTGGCTAGCTCAGCGCTCGACCTGCTTCCAGGATCAAGCACAGTGATGACCATGCTCTCATTGCGGCTTTCCTGCTGGAACACACAAACCCCATGGAATCCCAACTGACCCACATGGGGCAGAGTCTTGAGACTAGGGAAACCAGCCAAAGCTGACGCTCCAAGATGTGCTCCCTCCATCAGGCCGATGTAGGGCTCAAGTCCGTCCATGGTAGGCAAATCAAAAACGTTTTCGATACAGTGGCAGTTAGGAATATCAGGGAAAATGCCAGGAAGAGAAGAGGGGTAGGTGAACTGCACGTCTGGGGAGTATGTGAACTTCAAACTGGCACCAAAGCCGTTTCTTGCTTTTTCTTCTGGGGTCAGTAGATGTTCCTTCGTGGCCAAAGCAGCCAACAGGCGCTTTTCGTCAATGAATGGGATCTTCACAACTGCCTCCCACTCCATCTTCTTTCCATTCATGTCCAACTCAAAGTCACGGGGATAAAAATCGATAATCGGCGAGTCGGGTGAGGTCATCAACTCATGGTAAGCAGTAGGCACAGTCTTCTTGCTTCGATCAGGCAAGACCCCCATCAACTGCTCATAAGGCCTGAATGGCTTGCCAAGTCGGAAGTTCGTGTCGGCCTTCAAACCCTTCTTCACGTCTGCGCCAAATTAGTGGTCGGTAATCAAGTGGGCACATGTCATACTTACCAGAAATCATCGGGGCATAGTGATATCTGAAGAACCAAGGCCAAGACGCAATGCCTCTGTAATAATAGTACAGAACCCATTGGAGACCTTGGACGTAGTTCTCAGTCAACTCCTTCATCTCCTCGTGACTGTCCAGCCCCCAACCAAATTTGCCAACGTAGTACTGGTTCTTCCATTCTTGGAACTTCTCTTCGTACTTCTTCTCAGCTGCTTCTTGAGCTTCTTCGGCCGACAACTCCTGGACCTTCGCATTCTCGTACTTCCGAATAATCCTCTGTACAGCCAAAGTGGCCTCTTCATCGTCCTCCTCTTCACTATCATCATTCTCGTTGGCAGGGAGCTGAACTCGAATGAAGCGGTCGCCCTGCTCATCAGCGACGGTGGTCCAAGGCAGGCGAAGATCGCTCGCCAGCTGCTCTAAAAACTTGCGGTCGCGAGCGGGCAGCGTAGAATTAAAGTCAAGAGGCTTCGTCTCCGACGCTTTCCCAGGTCGGTTCAACACGTACTTCTTCACTTCTTTGAGGAGCTCCTTCTGGGCAGGAGTGATCGTGAGTCCCTTCGGCTTCTCATGTGCCTCGGTGGCGCCAGTCTTCTTCGCTTGTAGCCAACGTGCATCGGAGAACTCGGCTTCAAAAAAGCGATACTCAACACTGCTCAGAGCATCCAAGAGCATGCCTAGCCGCTCCATGTGGATGACGCCTTGTTCATTGATGTAGCCACCCATCTTAGGTAAAATCTCCTTGTAGGTCTTGAACATCAACGCTAAGGCACCCTCGTTGATATGCAAATTGGGTAAATTGGGCAAGAAATCGTTTCCAACGAAGAATGCCATCAAGATAAAGTCGTCGATCACCCTCTCCATATCAAAGGGGAAGTCTAGGATGCCCTCCTGCTCCAACTCCTGAAATTCCAGTTCCAAATATTCTCTGACCATACACAGATGCAATAGATAGAAATTTTGGTGCTCAAGTTCCTTAGGCTTCTTCGAAACCTGGCGGCCAAACGTGACCTCCTCACGGAGAAGGCAGAAATGAGGGTCGTGACTCAGCAGACCCAACATGATCAGATCGGCGTCAAGGCCGTAGAGACAGTGGCGAACATTGGGATCATAATCAGGCTGTGCTTTCGCATGCCGGATGTATTCCATGATTTTGTGCTCACCCTCACCAGGAGTCTCGTGGCCGGAAAGCACAATGTCAACTCCCTGCCAGTCCTTGTCCTCCGAAATCTTCTTGCTGATAAAGTATTTCAATTGTTCAGTCAGTTTCGCCATGAACTCGGTTCCCGGGGTGATGCAATTGCTGTCAAAAGGATCTTCCTTGGGCATCTCGATGCCCTGAGCAATCGCCTTGTCCTTGGCTACCTCAGCATCCAGGGCCGTGCGGAAACGTCGCGCACGCTGCTGGTTCATCTTGGCGCGGGGAGCCACGCCATCGACGGCCATGAAAAATAGCTTCTTCGGCTTAATCTTGCCGTACAAATGCTCGATATAGTTAAAAATTGCGATGAACATTTTATCTTCGGTCATGCGGAATGTAGGCGAGTCGCTGTCCTTGTGGGTACAGTTGTGAATGATACCGTTCATGTCCAGGTACAGATTGTCGAACTCGGGAATCCGGTTCTCTGCGATCAGCAGCGAGATGGCGGGATACCGCTCGCTCAGCCAACGGAAGAACTTGGGAACACCCATGGTGAATTATGTAAAGAGAATCTAGCGTAAAAGGTGTAGGTTCTAGAGACGAAGATTATCAAGGAGACAAAAGCTGCCGTTGAGTCGTAGATCGTCGCAGGAGTGGTGGAAGTGGCGGTGGTCGTCAATAATCAATGAAGCTCCAAGCTCGGAGGC